ATGATATTAAAACAGGAATGTATTCCATCAACTCACCTAGCTTGACAGGCAGTAACTTCGCTGAGGGTCAAAATATTTCTTTCTTTTTTTTTTTTTTTTAAAAAAGATGACCGGTAAGGGGATCTTAACCCTTGGCTTGGTGTTGTCAGCACCACGCTCAGCCAGTGAGCAAACCGGCCATCCCTATATGGGATCCGAACCCGGGGCCTTGGTGTTATCAGCACCGCACTCTACCGAGTGAGCCACGGGCCGGCCCAAGGGTCAAAATATTTCTGCAGAGAATCCAGCAATTGGGAGACTCTCTCTAGGTTCTGATAATGATATCTTAGGGCCTTGTAATTTGCAAGGGACACCTAAACACATTGCCCATTTGATCCTGTGAGGTGGGCATTATCATCACTTCTTTGAGTGTGGAAAGATGGAGGCCCAGTGCAGGTAAGTGACTTGGCTAAGGTCACACAGCTAATATGTGGCACAGCTAGAATTTAAACTCGGCTCTTTTGATGTTAAAGCCCATCATCTCATTAACTCATTTCTGCAGCTCATACACTTCTAGGAGGACATCTTCCCAACACCCCATGGTCCTGGGCTCAAGTCCAGGCTCTACCAGTGTGACCCTTTTCTTTCCTAAATTTTGGTTTTTCCATTTTTTAAAATTAAACTTAAAAAAAATTATAGATTTGCATGCAGTTGTAAGGCTGGCCTGGTTTTTAGGTGAAGGATTTGGACTAGATGTCAACATCCATGCAGTGGTCTGGCCCTCACATGGTGTTCTCATTTGTTTTGTTAGAGAGGCTGAAGCCTGGTGAGCAGAGTAGGAACTCAGTGTAATTGTTGCTTGCTTGGACTCCCTCTGAGGGGGACCAGGGTCTCTGCCCTGATGGTAATTCTCTTTGGGACACCCAGGGCCCTGACCTGCTTCCTTGGTCCGGATTTTGCTGGAGGGCCCACTGGGCTCCCCAGTGCCCAGGATGTTGCTGGCTAAGACCCGGAACTCATAGTCCATCCAGGGTGTGAGGCCCAGCACCTGGGCAGTCTCAGCATTGCCTTCGATGTTCGCAGGATCTGCAAGGCACCGTGGAGTCAGTGTTCCAGCATTCATTCATTCATCTGGTGCAAAGGCCAGCACTGGGCCTGAATTCCCTTTGTACCCAGGCCTCATTGTGGAACCTGCCATATACTAACATTCAATACCTCTTTCAGAAATGATTGAAAAACTAG